AGAGTGGACACGTGGAACCATTGCACCAATTCAGGCTGATGCATGGGAAGTCTCTAACTGCACCTTAAGTCACAAAGGGCACATCGCCTGCTCTGGACCATGCAGTGGAGCACTTCAGGGAAGCACAGCCTGTTTGCCCCATGGTGCTGGGCACCATGCCCTTGTAAGCAAGTTTATTGGTATCACTTTTGAGAGCCTCCATTTGGGGACGAAGGGTACACAGAGTAGATGAGCTGCACTATCCTGTGGCATGCCCTAGCACAGCCTAGAGACAGAGCAACCGTACCAGAAGACTGCATGCCCTTCTCTCCTATGAGATCAGTCTGAGCTGACGTAGCATGGGGGCGGCCTACACTGATGTTGCCCCAGTGGGAAACATTAGAGGGTTCCCATTTCAATCCACCACAGAAAGAGAAGGGAAACACAGGGGCACAGCCTTGCAGGGGATGATGAGTCCTCATTAGTGGAAACCCCTCTTCCCCAGCTCCGTTACCAGAACCCCTCCAGCATATGCAGCTTCCCCAAGAGATCTTTCACCAGTGACTGGAACAACATCCTCAAGGGTTTTGCATCAACTGGGGCAACCTCCAGGACAGAAGCTTGGAACAGAGGTGCAGTAGAGAGTATATATTTTGCCCTAGTAATATGCATATTTCACTGGCTAGTTTTATGCCTTAGGGATCCATTTAAGGCAGACAAACTAATGGGAGATATGTGTGCTTGAAGGCAGGCAATGGCCCTGAGTTTTTTGCTCTAGCTTTGGGGAAAAGGCTTCCTTGTCCATAGCCTAAATCTCTCCAGAGGAAGGGTGCTAATTATCTTTATCCTCCCATGTAAAACACCTGCAAGGCATTGCTTTTAATTTAGGGTCATCCAGCATTTGCCACTACCTGCTGTCTAGGCTCGTGCCTTGCTGCATTGGCTCAGAGGCAGACTGGGAAGCAGATGATACTGAGGACTCCTGGATTCACAGTCTGTTCTGGTTTCCTCTCTGCACCAGATGTGTTGTGCATGGCTCTTTGCACAGCAGCAGGTATGTTGCTGAGTAGCTCAATGCAGCTGCTTGTCTGGTATGGTAGGTTCAGGATAAGGCTGTGACCCTTCCCTCATCTGTCCCCACAGATCATGTGGCTCTTAGTTTCTATAGGTGATCAAAAAGCAGCAAGAAAAACCTTTTGGGGTAGTTCTAGGTATGCTTATAGTCTGCATGACTAGAGCATGAAGCTGCTTTGTAGTCTTTCATGCATTTATTGTTGCAAGAGGCCTGGGAGTTGGGGAAGTGCTATGCTCCTCCTTTTGGAGATGGGGAACTGAGGCATGGATGTCCATGCCCAAAATCTTGCACCTACCAACCTTGCCCTGGTTTGTTCAGAACCAAGACTCTCCACCTTCCCAAAGAAGTATTGTAGTCATTAAGTCCCTTGGGACAGATCTCCAGGTACCTTCCCCAAGTACTTGGGTTTCAGCAGCACCTGGGCCAAACAGCCTTATAAAACACAGCTCCTGAATACTGCAGAGGGGAATGGAAGAAGGGCAAAAGCTCCTGCCTCCCTCCTGCACTATCGCATGCTTTGGTTTTGGTACTGAAATATTTATTGGCTTGAAATCAGAATGGGGAATGAAGGCAGTGGATCTTCCCAACTGAAGAACAGCTGGGAGACTGGGGAGTGGGGAGGAAGCAGAGGAAAACTGATGTGCTCACCTATGTTTCATCTGGACTCGGGGCAGATCCACCTACCTCTCACCCTGCTGAGATGGCAAGAGACTTCCCCGCACCTTGGCCTCTGACCCATATTATTTTCCTCCTGCTTATCTTGGGCAGCCACAACCATCCCAGCTGCAGATGTAAAAACCCAAGTGCATTTTCCTTTGCTATGGGTTGGGTTGGGTTGGGAGTAGGGTGTGGGAAAGTAAAGCAGCATAAATATAGTAATGAGGGAGAAGGAAGGGAGCAGGGATGTGGGGGGTGCCCAAGTGCCTGTGAATTCCCATGCAGGCATTAGGAGAGGGATAACTGGCAGATGAGATGCTGCCAGGCAATGACTGAGCAGCAATAACTGCAGAAACATTTGCCTGCTCAATCTTACCCCTTCTTCTTTCACTTGGAAAGAGGTTGCCATGTGCTCCCCCCCCCCCCCCCCCCCCCCCGGAGGGGGGGGGGGGGGGGGGGTCTCATCACATTCAATGCTTCATTTCTACCTGAGGTGAAATCCTAAAGGCAGCTTTGGATTCCAGTCAAAAAGGCAAGGGATAAGGCTTGATCCTAGCTGCCCGCTCTGAGCCATGGCTCTGCATTGTTCCCCAGCCAGAACTTGGCCTCTCTGCCGCGTGTCTGTGGAGCAGTAGCAGGAGGTAGAAATGCGTAAAGCAGCTATGATGACACTGGATCTTGAGTTAAGGCAGAGGCATCTGGGCCCTGGAGTCCCATCGTTCAGCCTGTGGATCACAGACCAGCGCACTGCACACAACACATGCTGACTCCAGCCTTGCATGTTGCACGCAGTGCATGGAGCCCATCTGGGGCACTTGTTGCATGTGGTGCCTGTACCAGCCCAGCCCTGCATGCTGGATCCAAGGCCAGCCCAGATTGGGCCCATACATTGGCTCCATGTATGGTCTGGCACAGGTGCTAGATGTGTGTGCCCCAAACTGGCCCCACACACCATGGGTAGCACACAGCTCAGACTGGTCCCACCTGCTTCATATACCTACAGAGTCAGAGCTGGTGGGGTTCATGGAGCACAAAGTCAAGCAGAAGATGGATGCTAAGTGATTTGCCCAAGGTCATGCAGTGAATCTGTGGCAGAACTCAGACCTCCTGGGGCCTCTGCTCCTTAAGCACAGGGCCATTCTCCCTTCCCTGTTGCCCAGCCTTTCCCAGAATGCACTGAGCACTGTCCTTGAGCAACTGGCTAGAGTAGGCACAGATAACCCTGAGTACCAGATAACTGAGTAGGCACAGATAACCCTTTGACTGCCTTCCCTCCTTCAACTGGAGTTGAAAACCACAGAAATAGGCTGCAGCTTCCATTCTTGTCCCCCATGCGCCTGTAGGACTCTCGTTGTATCCATCAGTGCCAGCCAAGAGGAGGAGCCATATATTTGCTGATTCCATGCTCCCGGCATGCTAAAAGTGACTCTTTGCGGGAGACTCCCCCTGGGAGTGTAATGTCTATTTGCCTTTCATTGCTTGATGGAATAGACCCTGCATGCACACACACCAGTCCCATGGTGGGAAGTTTGGGAACCACTGCACAGCGCTGCCGGCACACCTGATCTGCAGTACGGCCTGCTGTTTGTTCCTGGCACTGCTCCGCTCACATGCCTCATTCCTGATCTGTACCTCCCTCTTCCCCCTCACCCTACCACCCTGGTATTCTGTTCTGCGAGCTCACAGCCCTTTCAATGCACCTTCATCCTGCGCTGGAGCCCCTCACTGCTAGCTAGGTCCTCTAGCAGCAACACCAGATGCATAAGAACCTGTAAACTGCCATTGACTGAGTCGGACCATATGTCTGTCTTGTCCAGTATCCTGTGTCGCATAATGGCAGAGAGTGGATGCTGAAAGGGAGAGTGAACAGGGTAACACCAGAGGTTTTTTTCCCTCTCTTCCTTTCCTACTTGCAGCTGCCAGCATTTTGGGTCTGGAAGTTCTGATTTGGAGGCTGTGCCCCTAACTCCTGTGATCAAAAGTTACTGATACCCCTTTCCTCTGAGAATTTGTCCAATCCACTTTTGAAGCGAGTTAAACTGTCAGCTTCCACAACATCTTGTGGCAATGAGTTCCACACTTTAATTACACGTTATGTGAAAAGGAACTTCCTTTCGTTAGTATTAAACTTACTGCCCTATTGTTTCATTTTATGACCCCTAGTTCGTGTATTGTGAGAGCTGGTAAATAATCCCTATTTACCTGCCCATTTGCTTGAGTGCAAGGTTCTTCTGTAGTTCCTCACAGTTGCCTTCGTCTTTAACACTTTTAATAATGTTGTGTCATCTGCAAATTTGACCACCTGACTACTCACCCCCTCTTCCAGATCATTTATGAATGTGTTTAAAATGGCACCATTCCCAACACAGATCCCTGGGGGGACACCTCTGTTTACTACTTCCCATCCTGAAAACTGACTCTATCTTCACTCTTTGTTTTCTATCCTTAAGCCAATTTCTGATCCATGAGTGGGTCTCCCCTACAATCCCATGATGACCTAACTTCAGTAAGAGTCTCTGACTGGGGACCTTGTCAAAGGCTTTTTGGAAATCCAGATCTACTATGTCATCTGGATCACTCTGATCCACCTGCTTACTGACATCCTCAAAGAGCTCTAGTAGGTGGGTGATGTATGCTTTCCCCTTGACCAAACTGTGCTGATTCCTCCCCACCAAGTCATGTTCATCCACGTGCTCAAGATTTTTTTGTTGTTGTTGCTTATGATTGTTTCTGCCCATTTCCCAGGAATATAAATTAGACTCATTGGCCTGTAGTTCCCTGGGTTCCCTCCAGTCCGTACCAAGGCTGTTTTTAGAGATGGGTTGTATACTACTGTTCAAGAGCTCAGCAATTTCTGTTAGGAGCTCCTTCAGGACCCTAGGGTGAATGCCATCAGGACCTGGTGCTTTGCTACAGTTTAGTTTTATCCATTATTTCTATGACCTCATCTACTGAAACCTCAATTTGGGTCAGCTCCACACTTCTCCTTAGAGACGAGTGGATCTGGTGAGGAAATCTCTCTAACCTCTTCCCCAGTGAAGACAGATGCAAAGAATGTGTTTGGTTCTCAGCAAAGGGTTCTCTGGTTTATCACTGAAAATGGAAAGAAAAGAAACTCTCTCTTCCTCGCAGGAGGGTTAAAGGAATTCCCATATGCAATGTATCCAGCTGTGAAATATCATCCACTGACTGGTTCAATTCAAGCCATTTGCACCACAAATGCACAGGGGACCTATTCTGCCATGAATTCAGGTGAGGCTTAATCCAAAATCCAAGGAATTGCGGAGACACTAAAAGCAAGGGATGTAGTTGTCATGGGCGATTTTAATTACCCGGACATCTGCTGGGAGGAGCAGTCAGCCGGGACGGACCGCTCCAGGAGGTTCTTGGCCGAGTTGCAGGACCTCCACTTGATTCAGGAGGTGCACAGTCCCACCAGAGGAGATGCCCTGCTGGACCTGGTCCTGGCCGCAGGCGACGACCTGGTAAGAGGCCTCCAGGTTCTTGACCACCTGGGCAATAGTGATCATCGCGTGCTGGAATTCACCATCCAGCGTAGAGTGTCAAGGGCCCGCAGCAAGGTGGTGGCCCTAGACTTCAGGAGGGCCAACTTCAGTGAGATGAGGAGATTAGTGGGAGAGGAACTGGGGTCCTTGAGGGCAGAGGAACTCAGCGTCCAAGAGGAGTGGTCGTTCCTTAAGGAAACGATACTCGGGGCCCAAGGGGTGTCCATCCCGACAAGAAGCAAGGGGGGCAGGAGTGTCCGGAAGCCCCCCTGGCTCACCAAGGGTGTCCGGGAATGCCTGCTTGCCAAAAAGGCGGCGTACGCCCGGTGGAAGGGGGGTGTAATCTCCAAAGAGGAGTATACCTCCTCTGCTCGGGCCTGCAGGTGGGCTGTTAGGAAGGCCAAGGCGGATATAGAGCTCGGATTAGCGTCCAGGATTAAGGATAACAAAAAGTCCTTTTTCAAATATATTGGGAGGATGAAGAAGGCGCCGGGTAATGTGGGGCCCCTGCAGGATATGCGGGGCAATCTGGTGGTTGCGTCAGAGGATAAAGCGGACCTCTTTAACCAATTCTTCACCTCCGTTTTCTTGTGCAGGGACCGGGACTTCCCTGCTGTGATAGAAGCCGGACGCGAGGGGATCGCCTTCAGACCTCAGGTTGGGGAGGACCGGGTTAGAGAGCTTCTGGAGGGGCTGGACGCGTTCAAGTCAGCGGGTCCGGATGCTCTCCACCCCAGGGTGCTGAGGGAGCTAGCTGGGGTTATTGCAGGGCCCCTGGCACGGCTCTACGAGCGATCGTGGTGCTTGGGCCAGGTG